CTCGTACCCTGACTCACTCACCAACTCGATCATTTATATCTGAACTGCAGTAGATGAAACAACCTCTCTGCCCTATACCGGGCTACAAACTACTCCCAAGACATAGCCTCCAGTCCCAAAAGTGCAATAGATTCTACAATTAATGCTTACCGTCCGATACAAGAGATCCAAGGCGAACCGGACCTCACAAATTACTTATGCCACATTGCCCCGCCTGCGCTCACCAGCGCTGAGATACTGTCGCCAACCCCTGCAACTAAACTGACCCCGAGTTGGATACTACTTGGTCCTGGGGTCACAAGCATGCTCACTCCTCGGAGCTCGAAAAATTGGAAGGGCATAATCCCTGCCCTAGAAAACGACATTCTAATCCATCTATTATCCATTCTACTTCCAACTACAAACCTCTAACTAATCATAATCATCACTCCCTTCCGGAGTCACGGCGACTCGAATCCCGGCCCCGAACAAGAGCCCCGAAGCCTCAAATCAGGAAACTCATATACCAACTTCTCCCGCTCAACCCGCGGAGTGCCACGAGTACGAAACATTTCCCTGATCCCAAGTAACTGCAGCTCGCTGCTCATCAGAATACGTCCCAATAACAAGTCCCGGTACTGGAAAGCTCGACCAACTCCTTCCCCTTGCTGTCGTTACAGCTGTTAAAGCTGCCGTGACAACCGTCTCGGCAATGGCTGCATAGCGCTCGTCGAAATACTCAACCATGGCGGTCTTAATAGACCCAAACACCTTCGAAAACTGTTCCCTGACAACCCCGATCACCTCCTCCTGGATGACCTCACTAACACGGTCCTCAGACAATGCCGGCCTATCCTGGCTGCCCGCTCCCGATCCTAACCTGGATCCGGTCTCAAGACGTCTCATAACCACCATTCTGGTACGACACCATAAAGGTCTCTGATAATCCATATAATGATAGGGGACCAACTCCCAACCCAACCCTAGGGGTTGTGACTTCCTTGCTACGCATATGGGTCCTGTGCTTTCAGTAGTACGGGCCCATACTACCTTCCACACCTACCCATATTTGTCTCAAGTACCACCACAACACCCTAACAATATTCATATACATAGCGAATGCTCGATCCTCACTCCTAGAGGAATGTTAGATATCTCATAACTGGCCTCCCGGTCTCACACAACCCACCCATCCATGAAAGTTCCACCAACCCTGCAGCACTAGTGTATGCTAGCCATACATAACGCTGGACCCTATAGACTTTCGAATATCCAATCCTACCCTAAGCTCCCAATCAAACAAGAACAGAACATAAGGCCAAATCAAACATTCTCAGGCTATAAGATCTTAATTATGTATAACCGTAATGCATACGATAAGCAACCACATTAATGATGTCAATCTCATATAAAGGAAACCCTAGGCTAGCAGGCATCATGTAATCAGGCAATTCTGTCATGCAATTCCTGAAGATCCCCAGCCTAGCACCATCATGCTGTTCTAATATATCACATAATCAAATACTGTATGGTATTTTGGGGTCTACTTACTGGCTCGGGCTGATCGTACATATTGCATCCTCCTTTACTTATTTTGAAAACCATTTTGAAAATCTTTCCTTGATTTGAGACTGGATTCACACAAATGTTCCTCCAATTCACTCACACCAAGGCTCTGATACCAACTTGTAACACCCATAAAATTCAAGCCAATTTAAAACTTTTTAATACATTTAAGAGCCATTAAGTTATTACAGTTTGTTTTCAAAATAGTTTAAAATCAGAGTATCCCCATAATCAAATCATAAAACCATTAAATATGAGGAGCTGTACGATCACGCATTTGCCTTCCCGCAATCATCAGATGCACCTGAAACAATAATCGATAAATGTAAGCTCGAAGGCTTAGTGACTTACCCCCAGAATACCGATACACATACAGTCCACATAACAATATCAACAATATCATAACATAACAAACTGAACAACATGTAATGGGTCCACAACTTTACAGACAGGATTACCCCTGGGCCCACAGTGTGAGTCTGGATTGCCTACCGGGCCCACAGCTCACATCTGGATTGCCACTGAGCCCACAGTACGAGTCTGGATTGCCTACCGGGCCCACAACTCGTATCTGGAATGCTACCAAGCCCACAGTATGAGTCTGGATTGCCTACCGGGCCCACAACTAGTGTCTGGAATGCTCCTAGGGTTTGTTAGCTACCGCACGGAGCAGTACAACCTCAACCCATCCCACGTAACATGTCGACATGTAACAGATAAATGCACATACCAAAAATCAATAATATCACAGGTAGTCCTAAAGGCCTACCAACTCGCATATCCAACTAGCATGTATATCTAACACATAGTTATCATAACAACTACTAGGATATCAATCCAATGAGTCGGCCTTGGTGCCTTAGACCCCTTAGTATAGTGAGGATAACTCACCTGCCACTACTGAAGTCCAGCAGATAAAACTCCAGCTGCTGGTTGACAGATCCACGAACTGTCAACATCAAACAATACCCAGTTAATAATTGTGTTCCAAGCCGGAGGTCCAACTCACACTATAACAACCCAATAGTCAAGTAATGGGCCAAAGCCCAACGGATGGCCTAATTTTCCAAATTGGGCCCAGACCTCTACATGGTCTTTCCTTAAGGCCCATCAAATTATTCCAATCTAATTCCCAAGGCCCAATATCACATAATCATAAAGGCCTAAATATGGCCCATCTATGGCCCAATTTTCCAAATTGGGCCCAAGTCCTCACATGGGCCTTATCCTAGAGCCCATCTAATTATTTTGGTCCATTAACTTGTTCTTGGATAGCCAATCGCCAAAGCCCAATTGGAAGGTCCAACTCAAGGCCCATGTGAAATTAGGGTTTTCACATGAAATGACGATTAGGGTTAAGTGTTCCTATTTAACCCATTAAGGACTTAATTCATTAAGTCCAATATTGCTTTGGTTAATTTGCAATTGATCATTAATTAATATTTTAAGTTTATTAAATAATTTCCGTGTGCGTCCCGATCAATTCCCACAAATTAGGGTTTTATGCCATTAGGGTTTTCCAAACCCTAATTAGGGTTTTCCAACCCAATACTAGCCCATTAGTCCATTGGTTGGGCTTTTAGGTCACTTTGGGCCTTATTGGGCCCATTAGGGTTTCATTGGGCCCACTTCTGTCCAATCATCCCACACGAGTGCAAAACACAACAGAGCACACCGCCACCCAACACGGCGGCTGGTGGCGGCAGCCACCACCTTACGGTGGTGGTTTAGACTTTTCTTTTCATTATTCCGATACGAATTACAATACAATTTATAATAATCTCTAAATAACACACACCCACTCATAAAATAATACTCACACAGCCACCCTTGTGGTGGCCAGTGGTGGTTCATGGTGGCAGCCACCACCTCACGGTGGTGGTGGTAGCTTTTCCGGTAAACTAAACATCCAAACACCACTCCATGAAATAACACATACACACCACACGAACTCGAAGCAGTAGCACACTAGCACCCACGTGAGACATGAACACGGCGGTCAGCGGCACAGCCTCGCTATCGGCAGCAGCCACCATGGCCGGCTACCATGGTGGTTCTTCGTGCCTTCCACTGGACAGAAACATGCACCCGTAATCCTCATCACAAACCACCATGGTCTCTACAGTCGTCGGCCTTGATCCCCATGGCTGAAACACGACAGATGGCGATACCTTCGTCTTCAATGGGGGCGAGAAGACCTGACGGCTTCTCGGTGGTCCCATGCCTCCAACAGCGGCGACAAAGGTCGTCGAAGAAAGCAATCACAGTGGAGAATGGAGGCTGCGCCTCCACCAGAGTACGAATTCGACAGCAGTGGCGCTAAGTGGTCCGACGACCCACTAAACTGACGTCACTTGAGTTCCTCGTCGCTGTAGTGGCTGCCCCGAATGTTGGCTTCGATCGGCGACACCGGTTGGCAGGGAGGCTGCCGGACTTGGTAGCAATGGAAGTGGCGGCTGTTGAAGATGAGAGGGAGGTATAAGGGTGGCGGCTACAGTATGTTGCTAGTTTTAGGGTTAGGACGAGGGGAGTGACGGGTTATAAGTCCCGCAAACTCTCAAACATTGGCCCATATTGTCACTTTCAGTCCCTCCTCCTTTATTCTTTTCAATTCAAATCCCAACATTTACCATTTGGCCATTGCTCTCATAATTCTTTTCAATATAAATCCAATAGTTACAAAACAATCCCTCCTCTACAAAGGATTCTCAATTATGATCCATAAATTACCATTTTCACCCTGGCTTCAAGAATCATTCCCAGAATAAGTCCGATACTTACTCTTTAACCCTCAGAAATCAAAAGTATATTATTGGCACCCCGAAACCAACACCCCACTAATTATTATTCGATCTTAGGCTACAATAATATAAAATAATCATAATAATTACTCCCCAGGGTTCCTGATTTATTATTTAATTACTCTATTTAAACGGGATGTTACATGATTTTTCGGTCTCGACTTTATCGGTTTTTCGATTGCTCACCCATTTCAAACTTAATTACATTTTAATAATTTACAAAATATACTATCAAATTGTTATATTAAATAGTGGTCATTTTCATTGTATTTCTTTCATGTCGCCAAGGCCAAGCAAGGCCATACCACATGATTCTTCACTTGTTTCCTTCTTTATCCATCTTCTAGAAAAGATGATATCTTTCAACACCTCTCCTTTCCTACCTCTACCGGTGAGCCTTTCCTTCGTTTTTCCTTTCAATTCATCGACTTTTAGATGAGTTTTATTGTATGATTCACTACAAACCCATTTCATTTCTATCCAAATATCTCCATTTCAAGCCCGATATTAGGTTTCTTGAATTAGTTACTACTAAAAGTTCATAAATTTGTTATATATTTTAGGGGTTTCTCGGATTCTTGGTATGTTTTGAATAATTCGTGGTTTTAAGTTGAAAGAACATCGTAAATTGCCGTAATTCCAGCTGGGTGTTCCATGGATTCTTTGTTGAGGACTCACAGTTCGTTCGAATTTCTCCACACAATCAACAGATTTGCAGGAAACGCTACCACTTTGAGTTCATCCAAGTCTCAAATTCATGAAACTAGATTTTTCCCTAAGAAACCCCATTTGAAATGGGGTCATGGAGGTTGTTGTGTTAAGGCCAGTAGTAGTGCTCTTCTAGAACTCGTTCCCGAAATCAAGAAAGAACTCCTCGATTTCGAGCTTCCTCTCTACGATCCTTCAAAGGGTCTCGTGGTGGATCTTGTGGTGGTCGGCGGTGGCCCGTCGGGCCTTGCGGTTGCCCAACAAGTTTCCGATGCCGGGCTCACCGTTTGCTCGATTGACCCTTCACCTCAACAGATATGGCCGAACAATTATGGTGTTTGGGTCGATGAATTTGAGGCCATGGATTTGCTAGATTGCCTCGACACCACCTGGTCAAGCGCCGTTGTTTACATCAACGAAAATTCACCCAAGAATCTCGGTAGACCTTACGGAAGAGTTAACCGGAAACAACTCAAATCAAAGATGTTAAAGAAATGCATATCAAATGGAGTCAAGTTTCATCAAGCGAAGGTAATCAAAGTCATTCATGAAGAACTTAAATCTTTGTTAATCTGCAACGATGGTGTCACCATTCAAGCCACATTAGTCCTCGATGCAACTGGTTTTTCAAGATCTTTGGTACAATACGACAAGCCTTACAATCCGGGATACCAAGTCGCATATGGGATTCTAGCAGAAGTAGAAGAACACCCTTTTGATGTTGACAAAATGCTCTTCATGGATTGGAGAGATTCACATCTCAACAACAATCCCGAAATCAAAGAACGGAATTCAAAAATCCCAACTTTCCTTTACGCGATGCCCTTTTCATCCAATCGAATCTTTCTTGAAGAAACTTCACTCGTGGCTCGACCAGGGTTAAAATTTGAAGATATTCAAGAACGAATGGTGTGTAGGTTAAAGCATTTGGGTATAAAAGTGAAAAGCATTGAAGAAGATGAACGGTGTGTTATTCCGATGGGTGGGCCGCTCCCGGTCCTCCCTCAAAGAGTTCTTGGAATAGGCGGCACCGCCGGTATGGTGCATCCTTCCACCGGATACATGGTGGCTAGAACCCTAGCTGCTGCCCCGATTGTTGCAAAATCGATAATTCATTATCTTAATTCTGAAAAAACGGTGTCGGGGACGGATTTATCAGCGGGGATTTGGCGGGATTTGTGGCCAATTGAGCGGAGAAGACAAAGAGAGTTTTTCTGTTTTGGTATGGATCTCTTGCTTAAGCTTGATTTGGAAGGGACAAGAAGGTTTTTTGATGCGTTTTTTGATCTTGAACCTCGTTATTGGCATGGGTTTTTGTCATCACGATTGTTTCTGCCTGAGTTAATGACTTTTGGGGTTTCTCTTTTCAGTCGTGCTTCTAATACTTGTAGATTAGACATGATGGTGAATGGAACTTTACCATTGGGAACGATGATCAACAACTTGGTTCAAGATCGAGAATAGAAAATAAGATACTTGTAAGCTTTTGTTTTTCTCTGGATATGGTGATTATTGTATGTTTCAGTTGATTAGCATGGACTTCTCTCAATTTGTCATGGAAATTGACATTTTGATACAGTATAGTTATAGTTTATACGTCAATGTCATATTATTTTTCCACATATCTTGTAATTTAAAACCCTTTTGCATCACAATCGTGCATCAGTCTTCTATTATGAATTTATGATTATACATGATGTGGCGTATTGCGTTTGATATGCATTGAACTCGGGTAGAAATGATGCAGAATTGTATCTACTAAGCATCCAATCGGGTTATGTTTGATATTTTATACCAATTTGCACCAAAAGTATTTGTTTGTGGATGTGCAAACACAAACTCCCAGGATTTGAGTTTAAGGTATTTTTGTCTCTTATCGGAACACACAATACCTGAAAGATGTACACAATGAATTTAGAGAAAGATTGTCGGATTGAATATCACAAGATATGGGTAGCAAAGACAATCAAACATTAGAATAATGAAAGATGTACACAATGAATTTAGAGAAAGATTGTCGGATTGAATATCACAAGATATGGGTAGCAAAGACAATCAAACATTAGAAATGATGTAAAATTAGGTTTAGGCTATCAAAATCATTGCAATATATACCTATATACCATTGATCTTAAATTGCAACATGTCAGCTTTTTCTGGACGGGGGTATTAGTGTTTTCATTGGTGATTGGCACATACTGACATGCATACTGACATACGGAACCACACTTTAAGGGGGCTTTTGTTTTGTGGGATTCCTAAGGAAAGCGAAGGAAATGGAAACTAGAATCCCGTAGTCATCGTGTTTGGCTTACCAATTCAATGGAATCGGATTTCCATAATCATATTTTAATTCTGTAGTTGCTTGATTTCTAATTCTTTCCCAACATATCAAGAATCTATATTCAATTCTATATCCTCCTATTATCTATACGCTTGTGAAATCAAAAAAAAAAAAAAAAAAAACCGATTGTCATTATCTTTTCCCCGATTATCGTATCTCAGTATATCTACATATCTTGATCGGTTCTACAATACAATTCCATTGCCAATCTTTTTTGTTGTGCGCCTCTGATACCTTTGTTGCCTGAGATTAGTTGTTCTTCCTATTCTTTGTTTCATCCTTTTCATTGTCAAGCAAAAATGCCGAATTCATCATCTACAATTCTTCAAATAACAGTGCTTCACCACGTTTTTGCTTCATCTTTGGTTAATATAAAATAATTAATTTCTTAACTAACTTATGAATTATGGCGTGACTTTGACTCTCTGTTACATTTGACTCTTTGTCACAATAACTTTTATATATATTTTATTCAATTTGTGATAGTTTGGTAAATGCATGTTGGCTGATTTTTTTTTAATCTTTGGATATTTTGTTGTGCCGCATCAATAACAATGCTTTGATTATCATTGTTGACATCCTACTACAATTCAACTATGTGTTCTTTTATGTGCTGTAGCTGCAATTAAGCCTACAAGTAAAGTAATTGTTAATTTTGTGGTTGAAACTTACTGTTGGTAACATGTACTAGTTGTTGGTAGAAGTATGCACATCAAGTGTTTGTGTTTTTGCTTGTGTGGGGTTTTTTTTTCTGCATGATTTTTTGTTTTCAATCCTTTTGCCATTATGTTTGTTTTCTTGGAAAAGATGAGACAAAAATCCAACAAATTTCTACTAAAACTCAAATTTGTTGACGATTAAAATCCACAACAATGTCAATTATTATGTCTTTAAATCGTAAAATTTTCCTTTTCTGGGAGATGAGCAGGAAATGGCATGGCTTAGTCTAACTAGAAGCAAACATAGAAAAAAGATAAGTCAAATAGTCGTTACATTTTGGAATGAAGTTATGACTAGTATTACATGGTTTTTTTTATCACGGTGTGCAAGCTACTACAAATATACAGAGAAGGTAAACCACGTATAAAAAACATATCGTCAGATGTGGATCGGCAATCAATAATGCACAAATACGCTTACAAAAGTGACACTACGTGCATATCAAATCTCAGGATGACCCGAAGATGTTTCACAAAGTTGTGTGACATGCTTCATACATTAGGTGGGTTAAGAACAAGTAGACATATGGATATTGATGAACAAGTGGCCATATTTCTTCACATTATTGAACATAATGTGAAGAATCGGGTCATGATAGGTCGTTTCCAGCGTTCTGGAGAAATAATTAGCAAAATTGTTTCGCGAGTTTGCAACGCGGTGATAAGGTTGCATCCACATTTTCTTAAGAAACCCGAACCTGTTACAGAAAACTCTACAGATCAAAGATGGAAGTGGTTCAAGGTATATATTAGACTTATAAAAAATTTCGAGTACTGCATAAATTGCTTGATATGACATATGACCATTTCTTTTCTTATATTATGTAGAACTGTCTAGGAGCTTTAGATGGAACACACATAAAGTGCTTAGTGCCACTTAAAGATAAGCCTAAGTACAGGACAAGAAAAAATGATATTGCCACAAATGTCCTAGGGGTGTGTTCACAAGATATGCAATTTATCTATGTTTTACCGGGATGGGAGGGCTCAGCTGCGGATGGTAGAGTGCTTCGAGATGCCTTACTTAGGCCACATGGATTGAAGGTCCCAAGGCCGTGTACGTATAATAATTGCTATTTTAGATATGTATTAGTTATTAATTATGCTAACTATACTACATATATTAGTTATTATTTGGTAGATGCTGGTTATACAAATGGTGAAGGTTTCTTAGCCCCATATAGAGGTCAAAGATATCATTTGAATGACTGGCGTGCAGGACACCAACCAACTACACCTAAAGAATTATTCAACATGAGGCATTCATCTGCAAGAAATGTTATAGAAAGATGCTTTGGTATTTTAAAGGCAAGATGGAGAATTTTAAGGGACAACTCATATTATCCTATTGATCTAAAAAATAAGATCATAATGGCATGTTGTCTTCTTCATAATTATATAAGGCAGGCAATGACAACTGATCCGTTTGAGAACCATTTTGTACTAGACGAGGGAACCGGAGATGTCGGTGGTGGAGATTATGATAATATCACTTCTGTTGGTGTATCAACCGAGTGGACCACATTTAGAAACAACTTAGCGCAAAATATGTTTGATTCTTGGAATACTACACATTGATCATTTCTATTTTTGTTATGTTTATCATTTACTATGAATTTGTGCTACATTTTTTATTTTCAATAATGAGCTTTAATTTACTTTACTGGTTATATTTGTTATATATATGGTTGTGTATTTTTTTTATAGCATGCATTGTTTCATCTAATTATTATGTTTATAAAAATAGTAGGTGTGATGGAAAAAATCAGAAACTATCGCAACTGGACAATTACTGAAGATGTCAAGCTCGTTGAAGCATTGGTAAATATGGTGAACATGGGAGGATTTAAAGCCGATAATGGTTTTAAATCTGGATATTTACTGCATCTAGAAAACGCATTGAAGGAAAAAATTCCTAACTCTGGCATATTGGGTAAACCCCACATTGAGTCAAAGATCAAAACCATGAAAAAAGATTGGCAAGTTGTTTATGATATGGTAAATGGTACGAACACAAGTGGTTTTGGTTACGATAGCTCCACTCATTCTGTAATAGCTGAACCAGCGGTTTGAGATTCTTACATACAGGTACAATATTATAACTTTTATATATTTTGTTACTTCTCAACTATTTATATTATATTTTTATGTGCTAACCTTTTATGATACAAAATAGGTTCATAAAGAGGCAGGAAAATGGAGAAATAAGATATTTCCTCATTACGAGGATTTATGTATCATTTTTGGAAAGGATAGAGCTCAAGGGAATAAAGCCAAGGATTTTGCCCAAATGGAAGAAGATGCAAACAATGAAGAACAATCAGAACAAATAGAAGATGTTTTTGAAGAACAAACCCCAGAAAATGAAGAATCTCCAAACACAGGCTCAAAGAAGAGGAAAAGAGTTGATGCTGTTATTAAGGGAATAACTATTGCAGCTAACGTCCTTGGAGAAAAACTTGAAAAAGCAGCAAATAGCATGAACCAAGCAATACTAGGAGAAACAGAAGTACAAAAAAAGCTTCAATGGTGATTCCAGAAATTTCAAAAATGCAGTCATTAAGTGCCTTTGATAGGTTCAAAGCAAGTAGGAAAATAATTCGTGACCCTGAAACCGTGTTAAGTTTTTGGAATTTGGAAGGAGAAGATCGGGAGAACTTTGTGAGGTTTATGTTGGAAGAGTGATATGATTATGAACTAGGTATTTAGACATTATTTTATACAGTGTGTGGTTACTTTTCTTTTCTTTTTTTTAAATTTGAGATTGAGAATAATGAATGACATTTGTTGCTTTATATTTATATATTTAATGGTTTTATTTCAATTTTTTTAATTATATAAAAATTCGTCATGTTTATTAAAAAATATGATAAGCTACAAAAAAACATTAAAGGGTATTTTTGTCATAATACGTAATTTGTTTTCCAATTCCGTTGGGAAATAAGCAAACCAAACAAAAAACAGATTTCATTCCATGTCAACCAAACACATTTAAGTTTCTAGTACATTCAGATTCAAATTCCTCCAGATTCTAATTCTTTTGACAGATTTCATTCCTTTCAAAAACATTATGTGAAACAAACACGCCCTAAGTGTTCGACAACATGTGACTATGAAAGTTCATTTCATTTGTTTGTGGGTCTAGCTTTATAATCTGTGTAACTGTTTATTCCCTTTTTTGGGATTGTAGGATTTTCAAAAAAATGATTGATGGTGGCCAAGGTTTAAAAGAATGGAATCGAGCCTTGAGGCGTTTTCCTGCCGCCTCATGAGGCGTAAGCCTTAAGGCGGAACGAGGCGTAAGCCCGAGTGATTAAAAAAATTAATATAAAAATTATATATCTTAGAACAAATTACTAAAAACATTCCTATGGTTTGCAGCAATTGCACGTTTGATCCCT